ATCCGCAGTCACTGCGAGCACCCAACCCCCCATCCCTCCCCCCACCCCAAGGGATTTTTCGGTAAGGAGTGCAACAAGGAAAAGTATTTATCGTATGACTTTATAATCAACTCGCAGAGCCATTTGTCCTGCAAAACTTTGTGAGCATTTGTTCTGTGCAAATAGAGGTAAAATGACCGTTCTTGGTATATTTGCTTTTGAAGTTGAATGTAATATCAGTAAGTACTGCATACCTTCCAGCAATTCTGCAACACAAATATGTACCCCTTGCTCCGCATCCTCAACCCCCAGATTGTGACCTGCTCCAAAAGTCAGAAAACGACTGTACATAAGGCCCCATTCACACAGATGTGCACATGGCACATTCTGGGATTCCTGCAACAACAACCTGCAGATTCCCGTGGCAGGATCCCAGGTGTCCCCGTTCAGGTGCAGCCACTGTACCCTTTGAAGTTAAAAATGAACTTTACCCATATCTTCAAAATAACAACAAAGGCACCTTTAGAAAAGTTTAGTAATGACAATCTACAAACACATACTTCTAGATCATTGCCGGCTTTGTATTCTTTGCATACATTATTACTCTTTTCCTCCCAATTCTTCTCACAGTGGCCATTTTTACTAAGGGCAGATTACTAGATCTCCCTCTACTTCCTGGAACTCTGGCACATGTGACTGGGATATGTAACCATGCACATCATCTCAGGGGAGGTAAATGCCTTTCCCTGAGGTCTCATGAGACTACAGATAATATTTCCTAGCAATGCTCTGCTGATATAACCTTCTCAGGATGCAATGCTTTGGGCACAGATTACATCATTTGTGCCAAAGTGGACCAGGAAGTGTGCCCTATCCAAAAGTAAGCAAAAAACATTTTGGCTATTTGGCCACTTCAGGTGGCTCTGGTTCTCAAAATCCTGATCGAAGCCCACAATATAATTGAGACTGCAAGTCTTTTCTGTAGGTTAACATGTTGTTAAAGAACTGCCTCAAATTCAACTTGCGCCTCCTGCAGAGCAAAATAAGTATATTTTCAGTGCTCTGCCCTTCTTATGGCTTCTTGTTTTTTAACAATATCTGTTCTCTCAGGATTACGATTTATTCCTCAAACCATGAGACCCATTGACTGCTGCTAGTCATTTTGCTCAGTGGTGTGTGAGAGCTGTTCCTTCACCCTTTGGCCTGAATCTCTTACTGCATCCCATCGCTGCCAGTCCATGTCGGGGATTACAAAATTATTCACAAACAAATTCCTCATCTGTGCAATCCCAAATTATAGTCCACAGGTCCAGGTCAGGGCAATCAGGTATGGAGGCGGGGGGGGATGGCGGGGACAAGTTAAAGGGGTTCTAAACCCTCCGGTTTTTTTGCTAGCAGTAGATATAGGCAAGAAGTGTAAAAAAAACAACAAAACGCTTGAAATCATTTTAAGCTTACCTCGTTATCGCTGCTCGCTCCCGCGCCGAGAATCAGGAACTGCTCGTACGGCCGCAAAGGCTCTTGGGGCGGGCGCATGGGGGGGGGTGCTGAAGTGGCCACGGATGTCGCTTTTTTTTCAAACCTTGGTGTGTCTGGTAGATAAAGTCTTATAATTTGAGGAAGCTGAACCCCCCCAGGGAAAAAAATTATCTACGGCCCCTGCACAGGTCACACGTAGCACATCTTCAGATATCTCTTTCTTTATGTGCTAAAAAAAACTCCTGAATTCCCCCCTCTAGTTATGTGAACTGCACATGTAGACCTCCGGTGGAAAGGAGGTTGGAAAAATTTAAATTGATAGATCACATTCCTCTGGCCGGGTAATCAAAACTTGCATAGTAAATTATTCTTTACAACACTACAACAGGCTCAAGGGCTTTCATTAACAAATATAATATAAAACCTATATAAAAGCACATACTACGTGACAACACAAATATGCCTAAAGGTAGAAGAGTTTTACGAGTACTCCAATGAAGGCTGAAGTTGGGGAAACACCAAGGGGGTTATATACTAAGATGCCAAAGGCAGCCAAGTGAATTACCGAGCCGAAGCGAAGGGAGCTGAATGCTGTTCGGCTATTCCCTTCAGCCGAGTACGGCTGATTTCAGCTGTACATCACCTGGCTTCGGCTCCCTTCGGTTCAGCCAAACATGCTCCACATGTACGGCTGAGCCGAAGTGAAGAACCCGTTCGACTTAGCCGATCCAACACTCTATGCCAGTCACCCCTATTCTCGTCGGTTCGTTTGTTCTGCTCGCTGCCTCAGAGGTAGTAAGCAGAAAAAAAAAATGTAAAGAAAAGGAAACAAAAAAACGATCCATACCAGACACTTTAGGTCTGGTAGGAAAATTAGGACGGACCCCAAGTTAAAAAGTAAAGAAAACTGCGTGGAGTTCCCCCCAAAAGTCATACCAAGCCCTTTAGCTCTGGTAGGAATTTAAAGGGGGATAACCACCCCCCTAAAACCGGACCAAAAACATGGGGTCCCCCTTAAAAGCCCCAACCAGACCCTTAATCTGTGCACAGGCCTGGCAGGAAAGGGGCAGAATGCGCCAGCGCCCCCTCCCCCATGCCTCCCTGCGCCATACAAGGCCACATGCTGTCGGCATTGGGAGGGTACTTTTCAAGGAGCCCACCCCCACCTCAATTGCCACTCCCCCCTCCGTTCCGCTGCCGGTTATCCCGGGCACCGCTGCCCCCTCCTGCGGTGCCAGGGACTGAGAACACCAGCACAGCAGCTGCTACTAGAGAGAAGGGGAGAGATCAGCATTTCCCCCACCGCTGAGCTCTCCTCCTCTCTAAAGGCGGAAGCGATGTATATTACATCACTTCTGCCTTTAGCTGTCATTTCTCTGATTGAGAGCCAGAGAAGAAGCTGACGAAGCAGATCTCTGCTTCATCAGTTTCTTTGGGGGTCCCAAGGTCACATTAGGGGTCTTAGAGACCCCTGTTGTCTCCATAAAGAGGACCTGTCATTGTTTTCTAGCTATCACATGGGGGATTTTATCCCCTATGTTATAGCAATAAGTCGCGTATTAAAAAAAACAAAACAAAAACCTAAAAAAGTGTCTGTTCCGCCTACATGCAAAAACAACGATTACGCCACACGTTATATATCGCTGCGAATATCGCAGTGAGAACAATAATTCTGGGCCCATTAATCACTGATAACACTAAGGCCCCATTCACATGTAGCGACATACTTTTGCAGCGGCCAGGATAGCGCGACTTTCGGGGCGACGTTCCAGCGACGGTAGCGCGACCTTCTCCGTCGGGCTCCATAGAAAAAAAACCAAAATCCGCCAAAAAAAGGGTCCGGTAGAAGCGACTTGCGACCGCGACGAGCGACCTGGAGCTAAGACAGCTCCATTGACTATCATTAGCCGGCGATATCGCGGCGGAAATCGCGCGATAAGTCGCTACATGTGAACGGGGCCTAAACTGATGAGCGGTTAAAGCTTTTAAAGTGTCGCCTATGGTCAATTTTAGGCATGGTAGTTTTTTGTGGGCGCACACAATTTAAAGCTTGACATGTTTGGTGTCTATTTACCTGACGTGACCCCGTCTTTTATATTTTACCAAAAAATTGGGTACTAATAAATGTTTTATAAAAAAAAGTTTTTTTTTCAAAATGTTCGGTTCTTTTTTCATTATATAGTAAAACATAAAAACCCCAGTGGTGATTAATTACCACCAAAAGAAAGCTCTATCTGTCCCCAAAAAGTGTTATAAAATGTATTTATTTACAGCATTGTATGACAGAATAAATGTTAGTCAAGGTATCGCTGCACTGAATACTGAAAAATGGCCTGGTCATCAAGTGGTTAAACACTTTTTTTTTTTTTTTTACACTAACTTTATTGCTATCACATAGGGGACTAACAAGCCCCCTATGTAATAGCAGATAGGGTGTGACAGGCCCTCTTTATGGCGACATCAGGGGTCTTTCAAACCCCTAATGTCACCTAGGGACCTCAAAGAGATCTCTTTCCCCAGCTTCTTCTCCTGGCTTTAAGAGCCAGAATTTTTTTGTACAAGTCATTCTGAATTGAGAAAGCCGGTTGGATGACCAGTGAAACGTCTTCAAGAAAAATACAGCAAGTCCAGATGCCTCAACTTATTTTTTACAGATATTTTAAGAGCCAGAGAATGTAAAGAGTGACACCGGAAGTGATGTAATGCACATCATTTCTGGGTCCAGTGATCGGAGGAGAGTTCAGCAACTAGAAGCCTGCTGATCTCTCTCTCTCCGATTGTTGCGGGGAGACCTGCCATGCCGGTCCCGCACAAGGGACACCGGAGCCTGGGGAAGCCAACGGCAACGGAGGAGGAAGGGGGCAGCACATTCCGCCTATCGGTAGAAGTTATCCAGTGGCTGTATAGATGCCAGATCTCTAGTATCTTAAAAGCCATCGCCGGCTGTTTAAAATGACAGCAGCAGACGTGTTCTATATAGTCGTATATTTACGTATTGTCGGTCTGGAAGTGGTTAATTTAAAAGAAAACAAAAGTTTTTGACAATTCTTTTAATAAAAAAATCCCAAAAATGGATCCAACAACGTAAACCAAAGGTCAAACATGACGTCCGGCGTTGTCCACGACGACGCGGACGTGTCCATCCTGCCAACGTACGCTCCATCCTGCCAGCGTACGAGTACGAACACCCGCACGGACGTGCGGGGCGGGTGAGCATAGGGCGGGGTTCGGCCGTGTATTCCCATAGAGAAGAATGGGGGCTGTGTACTAATCACACGCAGCACATGTCCTTCCCAGGAGCTGCCCAATACGGCCCTGCACGCAGCACAGAGCTGTATGGGCCGGCTGTTTCTCATGTGAATGAGGCCTTAGGGGGAAAGTCCCACACACTTTTTTTTTTTTTTAACTTGGTGTGCCTCCTAACATATTTACCAGACCTAAAGGGTCTGGTAAGAATTGGGAGGGGGACCCTACCCATTTTTTAAAATTTACATTTGTGGGGAGAACGGTCTGCTCGGGCACCCGAGCCTAAGCATATGGCTGCTGTATGGGCTATTGTGAATAGCCTATACAGCAGCCATTGGGTTCGGCTGAACCGAAGGTCTCTGGTGGCCGAAGTAAACTATGGCTATATCCTTCGGCTCAATAGTGAATAAGTCTCCAAACACTGTGGTCCGGGAAAACACTGATTACCCCTCTCTACTGGGGTAAATGTCCAGAAACTGAGGATCTGGTATGACACTGCTAGCATCTGCTTGCTAGAAAAAATCCTCACAACCTAGATCAGGTAGACAACTTTGGCACACCAGTTGCTGTTGAAACACATTGCCGAGATCACTTGTACAAAACAAGTGGCGGCTTTGCCGCTGTACATTTAGCCCTACTTGCCCAAAGCAGGGCTAAATGTAGAAAACAACTACCTGGGCGGTGCCCGGAACTGCATGTGCCAGGTGTCAGGAAATAGGAATACCACACCCTTGCTGCCCTACTCCCTGCTGCCCCAAGGCCGGGCCCCGGTTTGGCCTTGTCGGAAATTCGGACCTGCTCATATTTACCACCCTGGGCATTCTCTTTGCTGCATCACTCTATTTTTTTTCTGAATTACAAGTCCCATGAGGCAATCCAAGACTCTGATTGTCACAGGCATGACTTTACCTGCATGATGGGATTTGTAGCTGCACCACAGTTAGAGTGCCGAGATTGCCCACTCGTAGACTTGATCCTAAACTAGAGGGAGATGTCCTACCTCCTTGGGACACTAAGCTAAACTGAGTGTGCAGTTGTGTAGCCACTGGGATGAGCTGTGACTTTCTTGGTTTGCATAATGTCCAAACCTCCCAGAGCAGGGGTAGCATGTATAAACCCTAAGAGTCTCCATCCACCAGACCTGTGCTCCCTGAATGGGACAGATGAGTGACACTTTTCAGCTACATGTACATAACACCCCCAGAAACCTTCACAGACGGAAAGGTTCCTTACAGAACACGCCGTGGGCGTCCACGTGACGATGCGAGCGCGCTTCCGTTGTCTCACGGCAGTAAAGCCGGGCGTGCTCGCGCATGACGTCACCGCATCTCGCGCTGAGTCTTCTGTATACAGAACCGGAGAGTCGGTGGCGCGCCTGGTGCGGTGCATAGCTGTTATCCGTCACTTCCGGTTCTGATGGCTTAGACAGCGACCTGGATGCTGAAGGTGGGTGCTTTGTTTTTTGGGCCAGCTTGCTTTGTTTGTCGTGACGTGACCTCCCGTGCTTTGCAGAAAACGCCAGAAAAGGAAAATAATTAGCAGGCTGGCGTCTGGTCACCTAAGAGCTGGAGCCAGGGATTAGCTGGCCTATATAATGGGGGTGCAGAGGAGTCGGGGGGTGACACCTAGTGCCAGGGGTGAACTGTACATAGCGGGGGATGCAGAGCAGTCAGATGTACAGTGCTTGGAGTCGGGGGTGAGCTGTACATGATGGGGAGTCCAGAGCAGTCAGGTGACACCCAGTGCCAAGGTGAGCTGGGGATGCAGAGCAGTCAGGGGATACCTATTGCCAGGAGCCTGGTGCCAGGGGTGAGCTGTACATAGTGGGGGGTGTAGAGCAGTCAGATGCCAAGTGTCTGGGTGAGCTGTACATAGTGGGCGGTGTAGAGCAGTCAGATGCCTGGTGCCAGGGGTGAGCTGTACATAGTGGGGGGTGTAGAGCAGTCAGATGCCAAGTGTCTGGGTGAGCTGTACATAGTGGGCGGTGTAGAGCAGTCAGATGCCTGGTGCCAGGGGTGAGCTGTACATAGTGGGGGGTGTAGAGCAGTCAGATGCCAAGTGTCTGGGTGAGCTGTACATAGTGGGCGGTGTAGAGCAGTCAGATGCCTGGTGCCAGGGGTGAGCTGTACATAGTGGGGGGTGTAGAGCAGTCAGATGCCAAGTGTCTGGGTGAGCTGTACATAGTGGGCGGTGTAGAGCAGTCAGATGCCTGGTGCCAGGGGTGAGCTGTACATAGTGGGGGGTGTAGAGCAGTCAGATGCCAAGTGTCTGGGTGAGCTGTACATAGTGGGCGGTGTAGAGCAGTCAGATGCCTGGTGCCAGGGGTGAGCTGTACATAGTGGGGGGTGTAGAGCAGTCAGATGCCAAGTGTCTGGGTGAGCTGTACATAGTGGGCGGTGTAGAGCAGTCAGATGCCTGGTGCCAGGGGTGAGCTGTACATAGTGGGGGGTGTAGAGCAGTCAGATGCCAAGTGTCTGGGTGAGCTGTACATAGTGGGCGGTGTAGAGCAGTCAGATGCCTGGTGCCAGGGGTGAGCTGTACATAGTGGGGGGTGTAGAGCAGTCAGATGCCAAGTGTCTGGGTGAGCTGTACATAGTGGGCGGTGTAGAGCAGTCAGATGCCTGGTGCCAGGGGTGAGCTGTACATAGTGGGGGGTGTAGAGCAGTCAGATGCCAAGTGTCTGGGTGAGCTGTACATAGTGGGCGGTGTAGAGCAGTCAGATGCCTGGTGCCAGGGGTGAGCTGTACATAGTGGGGGGTGTAGAGCAGTCAGATGCCAAGTGTCTGGGTGAGCTGTACATAGTGGGCGGTGTAGAGCAGTCAGATGCCTGGTGCCAGGGGTGAGCTGTACATAGTGGGGGGTGTAGAGCAGTCAGATGCCAAGTGTCTGGGTGAGCTGTACATAGTGGGCGGTGTAGAGCAGTCAGATGCCTGGTGCCAGGGGTGAGCTGTACATAGTGGGGGGTGTAGAGCAGTCAGATGCCAAGTGTCTGGGTGAGCTGTACATAGTGGGCGGTGTAGAGCAGTCAGATGCCTGGTGCCAGGGGTGAGCTGTACATAGTGGGGGGTGTAGAGCAGTCAGATGCCAAGTGCCTGGGTGAGCTTTACATAGTGGGGGGTGTAGAGCAGTCAGATGCCAGGTGACTTTGATTTGGAGATCTGGTATGGGGCTACCTTAGCTAACCCTTGTAACCACAATGCCTATCTAGAGGCAGAGCCAGCTGTACCTGCCCCTCCCCCATCCGTTCCGCCAGTCAGAGCGGGGGGAGTGCATATTCACAGGGATATGCAAGTGCATATTCACAGGGATGAAATTGTGTCGGCTCATCGAGGAAGTACATCCCATGGGCATCTTCAATAAGTAAAGCTGCCCATTCACTGTAATATTTTCTTTGTTCAACCTGCGGGCTGAATAAAGAAAATATGACAGATTCTTTGATCGACACTGATGAGCGTTGATCGAGGAATCTCTCTCCGGCTGAAAGGGTGCTGACAGCGGTGCAAATTCCAGCCGGTTCATCAAGATTCAGCCAAAATTCATATAGTGTATGGCCACCTTTTAGTTTACAGACTTCTAGATGGAGATGGATATTAGGCTTGGGATAGAACTCATGGAAATTCAATATAGAAATACAGATTAGTTTTTAGGGGTGTGGAAAATTTTAAACAACTACCTGTCCCCCGTGGCAGTCTCCGTGTCCCCCATGGCAGTCTCCGTGTCCCCCATGGCAGTCTCCGTGTCCCCCATGGCAGTCTCCGTGTCCCCCATGGCAGTCTCCTTGTCCCCCATGGCAGTCTCCTTGTCCCCCATGGCAGTCTCCTTGTCCCCCATGACAGTCTCCTTGTCCCCCATGACAGTCTCCTTGTCCCCCATGACAGTCTCCTTGTCCCCCATGACAGTCTCCTCGTCCCCCATGACAGTCTCCTCGTCCCCCATGACAGTCTCCTTGTCCTGATACAAAAAATAATTTTAACAAAAACCATATTTAACCGTGCTAAGAAGCGCTTCTC